CGCCATCGCACGAGAATGCGGATGGGAGCAGCATGGTCAATGCGCAGTGTGCGCAGCGAGGTAAAGTGGAATGCGCAAAGAGAGGTCGAGGAAATGCGCCAGGACTTCCAGCGACGTGCAGGCAAGCGATCAAGACGGAAAAAGTGGGCGCATGTACTCGCAGATATGGTCTGAAGCTTGAGAGGAGGAGGTTGTACTGAGAATGGACAGGGCAGGGATGTATAGAGGGATTGTTGCTGATGTGCGTGTGAGACGGAGACCGGAGGTCTGTGCGAACAGCAGGTAGAGGATGCAGGATGCAGGTCTGGGAGGGGATTGGAAGAGGGAGGACGAGGATCTGCGAGAGGCGCCGGGAAGAAAAGGCCCGTCGCAGGCCGCAGGATGCATGGGCAGCAAGCCACCAGAACCCTTGAAGCCATGCACCAGTCGAAGCTGTGGACACCCAAGACACACAATTTTTTTTTAATTAAGCACCTGGACTCTCCCTAGACGCCTAGCTCAGTGACTAGCTTAGTGCCTAGCTCGGTGTCTACCTGAAGAACCAGCGAGAACCAAGACACGCCGCCGCCGTTGAAAACGAGTAGAGCAGCAGAGCAGCTCCGACAGAGACAACCAACTCAAAGTCAAAGAATTGGCACACCCCTTCCCTACTCGTACAAGTAGAGTCCCAGCATCAGGCTATTTCCCTCTTTTGGTAGTGGTAGTGTTATTAGTGGTAGTGGTCCTGCTAGCCAAAACGCGTCATCTCGCCTACGAGTACAAGGGCCAGAGTGATGGGGATGTGATGGATGTGAATGCGAGCAACTCGAATGTCTACTGTACCTCGTCCTTTTACGTACTCGGTACTCGTAGTTCTGCCCATCGCATCTATTACCTGCAATCTCACAGCTGAATCACGGTGAGTGAGTGAGTGACTACCTAGGTACTTCTCCCCCGATCATCACCGACTTTTTGGCCCATATCCTGCATGCATCGTACGACGAGGTAGGTTCTCAACGGTCCTGCAGCAGTAGTTCCCGGCGAACATGCACTGACCTACCAGCCTACCTACTTGGTAAGCTACTGATAAAATTATCGATTGGCGTCGGAGAATTTGTTATCGAGAAAGCTGGTCAAAAGCGTGGCAGTGTGTGGCCAGTAAAGTGATAGAAGCCCCTCATAAATGCCTCAAGCTTTGCCCGTTACAAGCACGAGCGTCTACATTAATTCGAGCCTAGAAGGGTCCTCAATTTCAGGGATGAGCTTCCAGGGAAATTGGCTGATCCGGGCTGATGTGAACGGGCGATCTAGAGCAGCCACAGCAGTCACAAGCAGTCCGACGCGTGGTGACTACGCGTCGATAACGCGCTAGATGTAAAAGGGGAAAGCGTAGCCTTATTTTTCTCACGTGACTGTCTGTGCTCTACCATGGCCATGAGGCTGTACATTCCTCGACTTCATCTAGACTCACCATCCCCTTCTGAAATTATTCTTCCATCATCTCTTTCCCTTCTGTTTTCGTCAAGCACGAACCAACACATCTTCTCAATAAATCTAGCATGCTTCTCCACAAGCTTACGCACACCAGTGCCAACCAACTCTCTTTGCAAGTCATTTCCTTGACAATGCCGGTCACACGGTCCAGATCTCGTGCAGCAAACAAAGCCTTTCTCGGACCTCATTGTCCATCGTGCAGTTTTACTACCACGTGCGTACCGCTGCATGCAAATTCTCTCCCTCGCGTCTTTGTTTTTGTCCCTCGGATCACTGCATGTGATCCATCCGTGATCCCCCCATAGGCTATCTCCATGATTCCCTCATTTTCATCAAACCAATTGGTGTGCTTGAAGCTTGCCCATTGCGGCAGGAGGTACAGCTCAAAGCAGTCAGAAAGCTTCTTTGCGTCCTTTGCCCATGAATCGTAGGGACAAAACGATGCTCTTCGCCCCCGTCGTTTCCTCCGACCCTTTCAGACTGGCCCCTCTCCTTGCTGCGTAAGGTTCTCTCGTATGCGATCAAGATGAGGAACATTCAAGGCGCCCTTTTTGCCATCGTGCTCAGCTTGACCTTTGGCCATGTCTCTGCCTTTTGGCGAATGGTCTGCGGCACGGTTCAGGTAGGCAGAGTCGACCCCATCGTCAACCCCGGCGGGATTTCCGGGCACTGTCATACCATTGCTGGACCAAACAGTGAGTATTGGCTTGTGAAGGCCCGTGGGAATGCACCTCAACTGACTGCGAGTAGATATCAATACGACGTCGACATTTGACAGTCTTCAAGCCGCTTACTGCACGTCTTGCAGCGTTCAGAAAGACAAGAGCGCCTATTGGACACCGAATCTGTACTTCAGACACCGCAACGGTTCATTCGAGGAAGTCCCACATGACGGGACAGTCGTGTACTATTTGGACCGTGGCGTGGATGTAGCCAACATGGTTCCCTTCCCACCTGGCTTCCGCATGCTTTCTGGCGATGCTGCAGCTCGATCGTTCGACCCCGTCACCCTGACCTATGGAAACAGGACCTACGGCGGGACTCCGGTTTCCAACCGTATCAGCTATGCTTGTCTGGATAGCAGTGGACCGCAGCCAGAGACTCCAGGCTTCAAATCCACTCGATGTTCCTCAGGTCTTCGCGCCCAGGTGCACTTCCAAAGCTGCTGGGATGGCGTCAATCTGTACAAGACTGATCAAAGCCATGTGGCATATCTCTCTGGAATGGACAACGGCATCTGCCCGCCTACTCACCCAAAGCTACTCCCTCACTTGTTCTTCGAGGTCATCTATTCCGTGAACAGCGTCGACCAATCTAAAGGTGGGATGTTTGTCTTCTCCCAGGGTGACACGACGGGCTATGGCTTCCACGCCGATTTTTTGAACGGCTGGGACGTCGACGTTTTGGACTCGGCCATCGACCAGTGCATGGGTCCCAACGCCGTCAATAACGGCCAGATCGGTCTGTGTCCACCACTGCAAGCGTCCGTCGACCCCTATTTCAGTCAGAATTGTCCTGAACAGGCTCCCTTTGTCAATGAGACAGTTCACGGCCTCTTGAAGGTCCTTCCAGGTTGCAACCCCCCCACAGGCGGTCCATTACGTGCCACTCAAAATATCTGCCCTGTCCAACCGGCGCTGAATTACATCCCCAACCAAGACTGGAGGACTCGATCCGTCGCCATTCCGGGTCAAAAGGTGGGAAGCTGGCAGTACATGGGGTGTGCTCTCGACACAAGTGCACCTCGGCCGCTCGCCGGTTTGAGCTACAGCAGTCAAACCAATATGTCCATCGAGAGCTGCACGACTTTCTGCAAGCAAAACGGCTACTTTATGGCCGGAATGGAGTACTCGTCTCAGTGCTATTGCGCTAGCTCGTTGACGCAGCCTCTACAGAGCCCACTCAACTGTTCACAGCAGAATTACATGGTTTGCACTGGCAATCAGTTCGAGTATTGCGGTGGACAGAGTTTGATGCAGATATGGAACGACACCACGTACTCGGGACCTGCAATCAAGCCTGTCCCTGTTCCCGGGTCGACCGTGATGTCTGTCCCTGGCGGTGGAAATGCGACGTACCAAGGCTGTTACATGGAGGGGGTCGGAGGTCGAGCCTTGACGGGGTCGTCTTTCTCGAATAGCACCGGTATGACCCTGGAGCTTTGTGCCGCGTTCTGCTCAAAGACCAACTCTGCTTTTTTTGGCACCGAGTACAGTCAAGGTAAGCTCAACATTCTCCTTTCATCCCGGCTTACAGTCCCATTTGGCTGACTTGAGCTTGTGTAGAATGCTACTGCGGCGGCAGCATCAGCACCGCTATAGCCCCACAGACGGCCTGCTCCTCCTTCTGCTCAGGCGACAAGACTGAGTTTTGTGGTGGAAGCTCTCGCCTCTCTGTTTGGGCGTTAGGAAACTATCAACCGCCTGCTGCAAGCGGAAGCGGCACAGCTACCGGCACGGGCGGAAATACCACACCCTCATCGACTGCGAGCCCCGTCCCCGCCGCCACAGGCATTACTTCGATGGGCTGCTACAGCGAGACGACTCCAACACGGGCCTTGACGGCGCTCTTCACGGCGGGCGCCTCGATGACGATCGATCTCTGCGCCCAGAAAGCCCAACAGCTCAACCTGCAGTACTTTGGCGTGGAATTCGCGTCGCAGTGTCTGGCGGGCAGCGCGCTGAACCCTGCTTCCACGCCCCTGGTGTCGACAAAATGCAGCATGAAGTGCGCCGGCAACAGCACCCAGGTGTGTGGCGGGTCCAACGCCATCTCGCTGTACCAGAACACGCTGTACGTCAAGCCGACCAACCCGAACCCGGTCAACGTGCCGAACCAGCCCGGTTCCCAGTACGGGTACGTGGGGTGCTACAACGAAGGCAACGGCGCCCGCGCGCTGGGCAGCACCGACCGAACGGGCTCCGCGGCCACGACGTCCGCGACGCTGACGGTCGAGGCCTGCGCGGCCTTTTGCTTCGCAAAGGGCTACGCCTGGATGGGCGTCGAGAACGGCAACCAGTGCTTCTGCAACGCCGCCGGCGTCATCAACGGCGCCGTCCTCTCTCCCGGGGGTGACGCCGACTGCACCGTCACCTGCACCGGCAACGCCACCGAGAACTGCGGCGGTAGCGCCAAGTTGAACGTCTACCAGCTGAGCAGCGGGAGTGCGAGTGCGCGGTTCGCCACGACGGGGAAGTCGGGCAAGAGGGACATCAGGGGCGTGAAAGGTATGAGGTTCCGGACTTGGTGAAACGTTTTAGCAAACGTTTGGTTTCTTGGGGGTTTTTTTTTTCTTTCTCTCTCATCTGAGTGTATGTCGGTTCGTATGTCGGTTCGTATGTCGGCATGGCCCTCGTATGTATGTATGTACATACGTCTGTATGCATCATGTGTTCAATCGTGCAAATGGCGCTCAATCGTGGTCAATGAGAGAATAATCTACCATCTATCTGGCTGCCGGTTGGTTGGTGGTCGGTTGGTTCGTTCGTTCGTTGAATATACCCACTACCTAGCACGCAGCGCTCGCTTTAAACGGTGACATGTACCTCATCCTCGTGTGTCGCTCCCTGACCGGCAGATCCCAGCTGACCACGTGCCACTGCCCGAGTCGGCGAACTCCCACGGCCAGAATACATCAGACGTCGAACCACGCGCTGGATGGGACTGTCGTCAAACAGGAGCGTGACGACGACGTAGACGACGGTAAAGACCGACGCTACAAGCACCAACGCCACAGTCCACAGGGGGACGAGACACAGACGAAGAAAGCTGACGACGGCTCTAGCGAGGGTCTGGGGCCCTCTCCGCATCCGCCAACTACTCTTCTTGTTCTTCGTCTGCCCCTTGTCCGAACCCTCGTCCTCATCCGAATTCTGGGATGACTCTTCTTCTACTCCGACAGAGGCGCTCTTGACCCCTACACCTACCGCCGCGGCCGCCGCCGCCGCTGCAGACCATCCTCCTTTTCCGACCTGCCCCTCTTGACCACCAGGACCCTGCCCGACACAGCCTAGCAGCCGCAGCGCAAAATGCACCTCCCCCAAAGGGAGCACAAAGATGACATACCACAGCACGTCCATCAGCGTGTGAGGCGACCTGTCGGCCGCCATAGGGGAAGTGAGGCCATCGTCGACAGACCCGTCTCTGGTGCCGCCGCCTGGTTTGGAGTCAGTGACGACGCTCTGTTCGGAGCGCTTCTCGAGCTTGGGATGCGGTAGCTTTCCCTTGACGAAACTATTGCTGTTGACGTTGACTGCTACCCCTGCAGCTGAATCTGGAGCTATTTGGACTGGCGCTTTGTTTGGAGCAAGAGGGTGAGGAGAAGCCCAGCGACTGTGCTGCAGCGTGGATACAAGGTAGTTGCTATGACGGCGCGCCAATTTGCCAAAGGAACCAAAGGCAGCGGCGACTTCGTTGACGTTGAAGGCGATGAGGATGAGGGGAATGATGATGGCGGCGGAGATGGAGACTGGGCACCAGGTTGTCATCAGCGGCGCGAGAGAGGTGAAAGGTCAAGAGCTCAAAATGGGTGGGCTCACTCACACATATACTTGGAGACATAGCCGAGATGGAGGCCGTCGGGGTCTTTGGGGAACTCGACGATGTTGATGGCGAAGAATGCCGCGATAAAGGATAGGGGGAGCTGGGATATTGCGTCAGTTATTGTGGTCTCAAGCATATGATTGCTAATGGTACGCACGAAAACTATAGTGACAATGGTGAAGACCATAATCGTATTACCCTGCCTGGCTGTTTCTTCGGCCTGTCTCCGTGTCTGCACGGCTTCATCGCGGGCCCAGCGCGCCTCGAGGAGGCTTGCATGCTTCTGTTTGAGGTCGACCAGATGGTTGAGCTGTAAAGAGACAGTTAGGGACTTGCACAAGCGGACGGGAAATGAGAGTAGAGGTGTACCGCGTCTAGTGTTCTTGCAGCCTGATCGTCCATTCTCTTGATATCAGCAATGTTCCAGTCCACGATCTGGCATGGTATGGCGAATCTGGGGGTGCCAGAGTCTGCTTGCGTCTCTCGGTCATCTGTGTTGACTTCAGGCTGACTGTCGTTGCCGTTGCCATTATGCGCCTCGACACCACCAGTCGCTTGCGGAGGTCTAGGCTTGTTGCCTTTTCGAGAAGCATCATTTGGAATTTTGACACCCTTGGCGAGTCTCTTCAGATCCTGGAGGACCTTTTGCTGATCTTGGAAGATTATCAAAAGGGTGTGGAGTTCGTCGCGGATATCCTTGACCTCTTTCAACAGTTCAACCTCTTTGCGGATATCAAGAAAGTCTCGACTATTCTTGTCCAGGTCATGGCCCGTGTCCTGGTTCTTCGAGTTCTCTACCATGGAGGAGAATTTCTCGAATTGTTGAGCTTCTTTGTTGGTCTATCAAATCAGGGTGAGTCAGTATTTTGCAGTCTGATATGGCGGGATGCTGCTTGGACGGTAAAACCAACCACTGCCCCTATCGACATCTCATAGTGCTCAAAGAAGTGGACTGTCTTATCGCCACCCTTACTCGGGTCGAGGCATGTTCTCAGGCACTCGCCAATAATGAGTTCGGCAAATTCATATGTTGACCGGATTGGAGAAGAATTCGTCTCGATGTTGCGGGCAATATCAGTGCGCTCGTGAGGTTCACCTTGGTAGCTCCATCTCTGAGGGAAGCTGGTGAATACCATATCTATACTTTGTCAGTATTCTCACGCCCAAGAGTATAAAAGAATATGTCTCTGTGAGCAAAGCCTACCTCCAACAACCCACAGCCACAACTGGTCGACCATCATAAGGACCTTGTCGCCAACGAGATCACCACGATCGAACAGGCGACCTGTCACTTGATCACCATCTCTGTCGCTGGTGTCGTCCAGGGAGAAGTAGTAATACTGGTCGAGCGTACGGCGAAGGTGAATAGGGTTGCTACCGTCTTTGGGATTCAAATATGCCCAAATGAGCTTCTTGTGCTTGTCCGCTTCATGCATCTCGCCACGATCCTGCATGATGCTCTTTACATAGTCTCTCATGTCGACAAACGTCTCCCACTTCTCCCAGTGGATGTACGGCATCTGATTATCAGTTAGTTACAGACCGAACCTTTACTCCAAGGGAGGAGCTTACAGTGAATACAAAGTCTCCGTGGCTGTCACGCTTGTCTACATGTGTACCATGGGAATATCTCATTAGCATGGGAGCACAAACAAAAGCGGGAGACCAGCCAAGGGGGATGGAGAACAGAATCAAACGAGACTGAGCATACTTATAGACTCGCAGAAGGGAGTCAAGAAGCAAGCATGGGGTCTGTGAGGCGAGGCTTTGTGTAGTCGTTCAATCCAAAGATCAGGACGCAGGACAACAGCCCGCGAGACTTTTCCTACACTCTCGTATTGCTGCATCATGAGCTGGGACTGAAGTATTAGAGATATGGATTGAAGTTGTGGTCTCGACAGTGGTCATACCTCGATCCATCTCATCTATGACACGGTTAGCCACCAGTGATATCGTGAGCTTTAAAGCAGAGGATGGGATGCGGAACTCACGTTATTTGCTGGAAGATGTAGCCATCTAAGGCGCTGCACTTCAGCCGGTAAGTTTCTGTAAATGTCGGCCTTCCCGTTGACAATATCTCTGAGCTTGGGCTTGTCTGCCTCTTTGAGAGGACGTGCGACACCATCGGAGAACTTGATGTCAACAACATTCGCGCTGAACAGGCTGTCCACATCGTCGGTCCGTCCGATAGGTTCGTTAGAAAGTTTTGGAGCATCCCCTTTTGCCTCGAGGACTTGGAACACCAGATTGTGTGTGGTTCGTTGGCTGCGTGTGACATTTTCAACCTTTTCTGTGGCGATGATCCTTCTTTGTAGGTCTATCGAAGTCAAGGGTTGGGACACTGTGGACTCAACATTAGGCGCCCCATCACCGACAGTCGCCGACTCATCGACCGTGGGGGGAGCATGCAAGTCGACTTGGTCGCTAGATGCGGTTTCCCCAAGAGGTTTCTGGTGATCCTCCTCTAGAAAATACTCAACGGCAAAATCTCTAGCTGTTCTGCCAGCATGGTCCTTTAGGTCTGGATCCGCCCCGTAGGCAAGGAGCAGGCGCACTATGGCCTCCTGGTCGTTTGAAGCAGCATAATGCAGAGCTGTACGTCCCGTGTCGTCCCGGTCGTCGATTGAGCTTTCCCAGTCTAGTAGGATGCTGAGGACTTCCTCGTGGCCTTGCATGGCGGCAAGATGTAGGGGAGTGCAGCCATTTGCATCCGGTATCGAGAGGTTGAAACGGTGTTCTACCATAAGTCTGAGTATATTTTCCTTGCCCCTGAAAGCGGCGTGGTGTATCGCCGTCCTGCCTTGGCCATCGCCAAAGTAAGGATTGCCTCCCCACTCCAAAAGGAGGTTGAGAGTCGCCCCATGGCCATTGTGTGCGGCGCATATCAAGGCAGTCCATCCGTGATCGCCGGGAATGTCGATACTAGCGCGTTCAAGGACATCGAGCTCGTGGGCAACGACTTGCTCGAGACCTAGGAACGACGCAACCATCATGTTGGAGAATTCTCGAGGACAGGGAAAGGGGACTTCGTCGATTGTACTCCAGAAAACCCGAAACCAGGTTCTGAACCGGCCTGAATTGGTGTCACAGAGGGCGATTGCCATTGGCAAGAGCAGTTCACCTCCATTGGTGATGAGGCTAAGGTGGGATGCCCAGGATTCAGCCGCGTACTCCAGAAACGGATGCTGCTTGAGATACTCCTTGATCCAACCATCGGACTCGGGGGTTCCATCTTGTATGGATTCTGGCAGGGGATCAGTGGCGAACTCGTCGAGCAAAAGGTCGGCGATGCAGCTGGTTGCAAGCAGAAGCTGGGGGTTGCCAGGATTCACCATGCCATCACCACCAGGCCCTTGGAGTAGGAATTGGCGAAGCGACCAATGCAGAGAGTGTACCTTCTCCTCTGTGATATGGAGGAGATCCACGCTCGCTGTCACGATACGCTGGCTGTAGGATGATTCGTCCGACGATTGAAGGTACTTGACCCCCTTGTCTCCGAGCTTGATCGTGAGGGCCAAATGCAGTTCCGCCCAGGTCAGCGGTCGCGTCGCGGCACAGGCTATGGAGAGAATTTTCATGGCATAATCTCGGTCTTCGCTCCGCTCAATCATTGTATGATAAACCTGTGAGATAACTGTAGGCAATTTCGTGGATAGAAGTGCTTCCAGCGATCTTTGCGTGTAGATGTTGGAATTCTCCAGCATACGAATCGTTCCATTGGCCCAGAGATACGTGCTTCCCGCCCTTTCAAGCATTGTCTCCTCGACACGACGCAATGCAGATGCTCGGAGGCCTCTGCGGGTGGCCAGTTCGTGAACGGCATACTGAATATATCGCTTGATATCGTCGTCAACTTCCCTCTTCAGGCTCCAGTTGTCCAAGTTCAACCATCGCCATTCAGTTCTACCTTGGGCCAGACGACACCAATGGTCATATATCTTAGGGCGCGGACGAGATGTGAGTATGAGCTTCAATTGGTATCGCCGCTTGCTCGTACACAGATCCCGAATGACTTGAAGCAATTCCGCCTGCTCACTGCACTCGTTCAACGCATCAAGTATGCAGACCAAGTTCCCGCATTCAGGATCGTTGATGACGTCGAACAGAATCGACCGTAAACCGGCTGGGGTTTGAGCGCGACCCCCGAAGTTTTCATTATATAAGGGACGAGCATGACGGATGAGAGCTGGTTTCCGGGTAAATAGCTGATGCAGCATAGCACGGAGAGCCGATGTCAATTTTTGAAACTCCTGACCACGATCATTAAAAAAGAAGTAGCAAATCGTGGCGTCAGGACCCCATCTGTCACGATCGATGAGGTGCTTAGCCAGCACTGTCTTCCCACAGGCCATCCGACCCATGAGCATGAGAACGGTTACCTCGAGGTCCTGGAGCCAGTCTCGAAAGTCGGCAACACAGTCTATCCACTCACATGTTCCAGGGGCTGCTTTCTGCACTCTGTCCTTGAAATCTTTGTAGGGAGTTGTGGCAAGACCCTTCACAAAATTTTTGTCCTTTTGGTCGTCGAAGTTCCTTTCGTGTATATCGCCACGGATACCACCAACGAATTCCATGGTGTCAATATGTCGACAGAGAACAGGGTCGAGTCCGCGTCTCACAGCCTTAGTGACCGGCACCACCAAATTGATCGCTGATGGGGTTTGGAAACAATGTCGGAACTGAATCCAGTGAGCAGCATACGCCAGAACAGCTGATCTGGTGGATCGTAACGCGAGAAGCTCCGAGAAAATTGACAGAACATTCACTGGAGCGTACTAGGGATACGGCCTCGCAATCTTCACATTCACATAAAAGGCAACTGGCGAGGCCTTGTCGGCTGAACCTCAACCAGGCTGATGAGCCAAAGCTGTTTTTGATGTGCAGCAACCACGTCAATAATACATGCATGGGTAGCTGCTGGTTAAGCGAGGCCGAACTGGTAGGTAGTTGGTGATGCCGTATCCCTGCCCAATAAGTGAGTACAGCCCCCACACATTGAGAGATGCTGGCGAATGAAAAATGGTTGAGGTGTCATGGGTGGCAGTTCAGCCAGTGACGGCTTCGCGGCGCAAGCGATAAGCAGCCGTAGATGGCAAGCTCTTGATGCGTACAATACGAACTGCCCGTGAAATCTTGTAATGATTGGATGAGCTAATCAGCAAAAATACCGACCAGGACAGCGGTCAGCTGCAAATCCCCCAATCCTTTCTCAGCCTGCCGCATATACGAGTATTTGGCCATCAACGGGCCGCTCCAGAAGTGGCCACTTGCCACTTTGGTTGGACTCGTTTAATATCAACCGGCCCTGGAGCGGATGAGCGGCTCAATCACGCAAATTGTCCTATTACGGCTGCCAATACAAAGTTGCTCTACCAGCGCCATCTCGTTGCCTCTAACCCGGATGTAGGGGACCACAAGAGGGATTCAGCTGCGGGGTTGCCCGCTTGCAAGGCAGATAGCGCTGGCACTCACCGCGAGGGTAATGTGGCCACGCAAGCACGTGCTACTGTCGACATGGTCGGGCGGTGCGTGTGTCGAGCCTTGGTAGCTAATGGGGTCCCAACTAGGGAATGACACTGTTGACTTTGCAGATAGATGTTTCATACTTGTCAAGCGCGTCACGGCTCTCCTCTGCTTCTGTATAGCGAAAAGCAATCGTCCCACACTGGTGTGTTGCAGGATCGTGGAGAGAATCTGGAGAGAATTATGGTTGTCGAGCCAGAACTACATATGCAGAGCAGGCAGAGGAGGTTGAAATATGCACCGGGAAAGAAACCCCAAAAGAAGTCTCTTGGGACGCTAAAAGGCTTGGCCCGCTACCACCAAAGAAGGTCCCACGCTGTTGAGCCACGGCAGTCACAACCCAAACTTACCTACCCATGTACCTAGGCAAGCATGCAAACTAGGTAGGTACCACCTATTATACTGCCCGACCTGCCCAGTATACGCCCCTTACTTATGTATCTCGATGCACACCTACTAGTCTCATAGCCGAGGGTGGTATAAACAACATCACAAAAACTGGTGATAGAGCTAGCCAACACTTTGTGTTGCTTGCGTTTAGGTAGCTCATAAAATGCCGGCAGTGAATCCTTCAAAGACTAGAGATCATCGTCTCAAATGCACATGAGACACTATAGTAACGCGGGAAAATACCCCCAAAACATGGAGGAGTGCCTCCGACCGTGACAACCGCCACCCAGCCCGTTTAAAAGTTGGCCGATCTGATCCTGGCTCGCTGTCCTCTCCTGCCCGTCTCTGACAATCTCTGCTCGCGCATCCGTCTCAGCGTTGATCTGTCCGTTTCCCAACTTTCGGTGGGATGGGCAAAACCCCAGTGCAGAAGGTCGAACGGTTTCCAACTTTTGCTAAGCGTGGGCCATAGCTCGCAGCTGGAAGGATATACAACATCAGCCCATGCGAGAACGTATTGAATGTTGTGTTTGAAAAAAGAGTCCAGGCAAGGATCTAGTGTGGGCGTCCATCGCATAGCAATCTTCAGATTTCCATAGAGCACACTGCTCCCTTCTCTCCATATTTTCTTGCATACACGGAGAAACTGCGTCGAAAGACCTGAGCTGGTGACGAAATATCGCTCGTCGAACAGATGGGTCCAGTCCAACACGCCGATGTGCAAGCCTGGAGGCCAATCAACAGCGTGTTTCAGAACAATCGCCTGAAAGGCGGGATCTGTGGAGCAGAGGAAGCAGAGAATCTGGCGTTTATCAACCAAGACCATGCGATAGATCTGGTTCAGTATTTCCGCGGGATAGTTCAAGTAGCCCATTGAATCAATTGGAGTGCGACGGGGAAGAATGGGGAGGTCGTCCATTTCGGGGCTGTATAGTCTTTGTTCAAAGAGCGTGCGCTGGGAAAAAAGCCAAATCCACAAGGCCAAGCAACGAGATGGCGGCGGGCAAATGGGCGCTTCCTAGTCTTCCGATGCTGAAAGATAGACCGTAAGATTCTGTTTCCTAACGATGAGTCTCAAGCCGAACGATGGGTGGCTGATGTCGATGTGTATCCTGAACCGATCTGACCGATTTGCGGAGAGTCTGAGGTAGTTGACCGCAGGTAGAACAACTGGACTGCTTACTGAATGGCAGGCGCGGCGGTCCAGCCAGGAGTCGGAGGGGAAAGCACAGAGCAGCTCTATGCCGGTACAGCACCGAGGGTTTGGCCAGCCATCGCTTCTCCGCGGTGGGGAAACCGCAATCCGACTCTCTTCTCGTCTTCATCGTTTGGTCTTCTTCCTGGCCATCTTGTTCTTCCTCGCGATTTCCGAGGCGAAAACGACAGAGTTTTTGGATTTCCTCTTGGAGACTTTGTGGGTCTTGCGATTGGCTTGACTCCGAGACGGAGACGACTTTGCCGGCTTGGTGACAGCTCCTGGTCCATCGACGTCCATTACTGCGGGATCCGGTCAGTGGTGGTTTGTGTTTGTGGAAGATTGAATGAACATACCCTCAGACTGGGCGTTGCGAGACTCATCTCCCGTAGTCTGTTCGGCGTTGTCATCCACGTCCATGGCCTTTTCAGACTCTGGTTTGGGTTTTGCTGCCAACTCTTGGAGTTTTGCAGACAATCTAGCAGTACGAGCATCTGACGCAGGACCATACACCTTTGCGCGAAGATTGCGGTGATTCTTCTTGACCACGGAGGCCCGGGCGGATTTGGCCATAGCGTGCGTTGGAAGGGAAAATATAGCAAGTCGAGAAGACAGACACACGGTGGAAACGAGTGTTGATTGTGTGCGGGCACGGTGGGTAAGAGGCTGAGAGGCAAGCAGGACAAAGAGAAATTCAGTGGGACATTTTTCCGCAGGTCCAAAATCTGCCGGGGTTGCGCCGATTCGCGATCCATTCATCGGAAATCCAACCAGTGACTGCGGCGTCTTAACGACTCGGCGACGGCAGCAACCTCACACCTTTGTAGACTTCTTTGTTGGAGGGGGGAAATGTAGCCCAACCTTCACCATCTGTCCTTGTTGATCACTCTATTCTCGCTTCCCTTCCGCTGGGCCACTCGCTGGCAGCCTTAGACCCCTGTCCACGAAAGAGGTTGCGACTGCGCGCGCAAGTTCGCCCTCGCCCTCGGTTCCGACCATGTTGTTTCGACGTCGTTGCCACCGATAGCCTCACCCGATTTCCATCCTTGCTGTCTGTTCGATCATCTTGTAAAGGAGAAGAACAAAAAAAAGAAGAGAAGGACGCCGCCAAACCATGGCAGGCACCATGGCGGGTTACATGCCTGCCCAAGCACAGGATAATGTGCAAGCGTTGATTGCCCAAGTAAAAACCCTTACTGTTGAGAAGTTGAAGAATGTACTGCGCAGCGAAGGCCTGCCCTTGTCTGGAGTCAAAAGTGAACTCCAAATCAGAACAATAGCCTGTATGCCAACTTGCCCTCTCCCCCACCGCGCTCCCACTGCTCTTCCTCTACTGTATCCTGACCTCCATATCTACACAGATATCGAGAAAATGCGCAATGCAGCTGACATGGTCGCGCTGAATCGAATACGCAACACGATCAGGGGCGTTCCTCATTCGTATCAAAACGGCAACTCATACAATCCGCATTACTCGAACGACTCTCCCGCCTCTTCAGCCTCCCCTCAGTTTTCCTCACCGAGTGCTCACAACAACTACTACATGCCTTCTACCGCAACGTTAGGTCAAGGTACAGGAGGCGACTCTATCCGAGAAAAAGGACGCGCGCTGACGGAAATCAGCCCAATTCATCTGGAGAAGTTCACCTTTCTACAAGGTTCACAGACAGATCACCCGACTGTGGGAGTGCAAAGGTAGCTCATGACACTCTCTCCGCTCGGTGCGCCGCACCCGCTGACGAGAACTTAGCCCGAGAGTCGACCAGAGATACAGCCAAGCTCATAGTGATGGTGTCCCAAGATACTCTCGATACGCTGCATAAGGATCCATCATATCGCATCATGGTCTTTTGCACTTCTGAGAATACCGGGCCTGTTCAGAGAGCAACTTGTGATATTGAGTTTCCTCACAACGTGGAGCTCAAATGTAACGGTACTGATATCAAGGCCAATCTGAAAGGATTGAAAAACCGACCTGGAACGACCAGACCTGTGGATATTACGAGCTTCATCAAGAAAAAGCCCGCCAATTATCCCAATTCGGTCGACATGATCTACGCTTTGACCATAAAGGTGCGCCCACTGATTCGTAATCCCCTCTGCTTCATTTGTGTCCGATCTCACATCAAGAACTATCCATACTAAACAGGACAAATCACCCCCACAGAAATTCTACCTCGTGGTCAATCTGGTCGTGCAAAAGTCGATTGACACAATGGTCGCCGATATCAGGCGAGGCCGCGTGATCACCAAAGATCAAGTGATTCGGGAGAGTGAGTTCACTTTGGCATCACATTGGTTTGGGAGCTTACGGGAATCTAGTGCGCCGGAAAGCCGAAGACCCCGATGAAATCGTGGCTACGTCGATGGTTCTTTCGTTGAAAGACCCTGTCGGTTACACACGCATCACGACGCCATGTCGTGGCATCGGCTGTAATCATGTCCAATGCTTCGATGCAGCCCTGTATCTCCAACTCCAGGAACAAGCACCCACGTGGACATGCCCTATCTGCAACAAGGCTGTGCCATGGGAACAACTGGCTCTGGATCAGTATGTAAACGACATTCTGAACCTAACGCCTAGGAGTGTAGAGGCCGTCAACGTCGATCCGGACGGGAGATGGCATATCCAGAACGAAAACGAAACTTCTTCTCGCAGATCTAACCCCACCCCATCGGAGGATGATGATGGTGACGATGACAACAACGATGGCGACGACGACGGCGATTTAGTGGAGCTCAGAGTCGGACCCAGCTTTCGACCCTCGAACATTGAAACACTGACACCGCATAGCGTCAAGACCCCGCCATTATCGTCTCGCGAAGTATCAACGGCTCCTTCAGGGTCTAAACCGTCAGCACAGACGAAGAAAAGACCCCGCGAAGTCATTGATCTGACTTTGAGCGATGATGACGAGGACGAGCCCCCTCCCAAGGTCTCGAGGGCATCCAATTCTTCATCCGTGGATCTTTCTCAGAAGGGCCCCCGGCAACGCGAAGATCGGATGTTCTATGCCCCGGGGCAAATTGTCATTGATTGGGCTCGGCGCCCTTCATTTCGTGGCCCTTCGCAATAAGCTTGTCTTACAGATATGGTATTTCGATTCACGTGGCGCTTGGGGGAAAATCAGGAATCTGTGATGACAAAATGAATTTTGGGTGGGCGAAATTCAGGGGCGGAGGTACTCAGCAGCAGCAGCTTTCCAATAACTGTCTAAGAGGGATATGCGGGCTCCGAGGGCAAGTCGGCCGTACAGGGGATTTTCCGCAGATCAAAGGTGTCGTGACCACCAACTTCTGATTCGAGAAGGGTTGTGCGATATGGCACGGGGGCATAGACGACGGATCATGATTTTCTTTCCTCTGCAAACAACAGGCATGAGCTACTGCAGCACGCAAAGATATGTTGCTAGGGAGAATGGGTCATCAACACGGCACAGAGGAGGTGCAGATGACTGCGGGACTGGCACTTGCAATGCATGAAATAATTAGCGGGTGTAGATGTATGGCGAAGACAAACAGAAGCTTCCTCCTCGTTACGATTTCCGTGGAACTGCAAGGGTTTCTGGACGCATCAAGCGCCCGAGTCCCACCATCTGGCCCGTGAGCTTGTACAAAACCTGGTCTGTCCAGGAAGAGCACCAAACCTGTTCTTTGACCCAAGGCTTCTATGGCCAGCCGTACGAGTGTCATGCTCTCATCTTCTCACCAGCACGGCCACGACACACCACCGCTTGGCCTGATCTTTATTCTCGCCTGGCCTGAGAGGTTCCCAGGGTCTGCGGAGGCCGTTGACGTCGATCTCGAAGATTTCTGCGGCGCGGAGACGGCCCTGAACCTCTTTGGCCACCTCGGCTTCTCCGTCGCCGTCTTGGTCGTTCTTGTCCTTGTCCTCGCCGCGGGTGTCATTCTCTCTCGCGTCCTCCTCTTCCTCTGGGAGTCGATAGTCCCCGGTGGCCACCTCGAAGAAATGCCGCACAATCTCGCGACCGGTGTGGAAGCCGGCGACAACCAAGGCGCAACTCTCGATGGGGGGGCCCTGGGGCGCTGGACCCGACGCCTGCTGCTCTTGCCGGTGCAGATAGCGCAGGATCGTCTTGACGAGGTTGACGTGCTGGGACGGCATCCACAGGCAGTCGGCGATGATGATGCGGTCGAAATCTCCGGGTTGTGGATCGGCAGGCTTGCCGTATTGCGTCGGCGTGTACATCGTCGCCGTGCCCCACGTGTAACCGAAGATGTCGATTGCTGTGGAACTCGGGGTTTGTGTAACTGTTGCCGTGGACGGGTGCGATGGCGACGGTGAAGGGGAGGGTTCGGCGTCCGCATCCGCCGTTTCTGGCGGGTTGACTCGTTCGACAAGGTTCCTACGGACGTTTTGCTCGATGGCGCCGGTGGTCAGAGCGGGCGACGACGGGTGGTCGGTGATGGTCGCTGAGCGTGCGCCAGAGAGCGCAGCAACGATGGATGGCAACGCCGTCCCTGACTTTCGCATGTGAGCCGGCGTCCTATATACTTTTTTTTGCTTGCTTCCCCAGCATCTTCTAATGATTGACGTACGTCAAGTCAAAAATGATTTGTGTTCTCTTTCTGTGTCTCTCTCTCACGTACCAGCGCCCAACTCGAGAACCTTGGTCCCCCTCACATCCCAATATCTCTTCTGCCATTCCTCCGACTTTTGCTCTTCGTCACTTCCGTCCTGCTGCTGCTGGTGGTGCGGCGGCGGTGGTGGTGCCTGATCTGTTTCACCCTTTGTGCCGGAAGAACTGGCCCTCTCCAGCCCCTCGGCCATGATCACGCCCGCATTCCACAGGTAGTGCGCGAAGAGCGTGCGGCCTTCCTCGGCGGCCGGGTGCTGGGGTATCCGCAGGTCGATCTTCCCGAACCTGGGCGAGTGGTAGCTCACATGGCCGCCGGGGACGCCGTGGCTGGTCTGCGTGTCGTCGGTGAAGAGGGTCGCGAGGGCCGACGAGAAGATGTCTTCGTACTGTGGATTGGCGGGGATGGGCGTGGTGATGCGGGATGTGAACATGGTGTTGGTAAGGAGGTAGAGAATGCTATCTTTGACCACAGCATAGACACGAGCACCCAAAACAAAATAAAAGTCGCTGGGTTACACAAACTATTCGGAACCGACTTGATTGTCAAAAAAGTTGACATGCAAGGCTGAGACGCGGGGCATTTTTAGATCCGCCCCATTGGGCGAGTGGGTTAGGGCGGATTTGGGGAAAAAAAAAAGGCAGTGGCAGACTGGACTGTGTAAATCTTTCTTTGGTTCCATATACAAGTTTCACGAGGTACAGATTCTCAAGTTATTGCCCGTCGTACAACACAATTTTCTGGATCCCACTTTTGTGTCTTTGGAACAACCCCTCATATCCTAGGCACACCCTGTGCTCCAAACAATGTCTGCAGAAAAATCCCATCCCGCTCACCTGGAACCAAGCGAACTAGGCACAAAGGAGTAGTGAGTGCGTCTCTCTCGCCCTGCCAAACAACCCTTCACCCAGAACCAGGGAGGAGAGATCCCGTTCTGTTGCACAGTACCGTGGACTAACACGGGGCATGTCGCCGATAACAGCTGGGACGAATACTACCGGAACGATCTGGAAAACGGTGCTCGATCTGAAGACGACGAAGAGGAGGATGGCGATGGCAGTGATTCTGATGACGGGGCCGAGCAACCCCCCGATCCGGTCGAGCTGGAGTCATGGTTCGACGACGTCGACGCTCCGGCCAAGACACTGGCGTTTCTAACCTCGACAACGTTCCCGCTGTCGCCGAACTATACGGGATCATTGGTCGATCAAGATTCAAGCGATCGGGGTAGTGGCAGTATTAGGGATGGTCCGTCGGTGCTGGACCTGGGCACAGGCAACGGCAGCGCCCTGTTCGCGCTGCGCCTCCACGGACACTACACGGGCCGCATGGTCGGCGTCGACTACTCGAGCCAGAGCGTCGAGCTGGCGCGGAAGCTGCGCGCACAGTACGCTTCGACAACGATGACGACAATTCCCTCCGACATGGCCGATCTGGACTTCCACGTCTTCGACATCATCCACGACTCGGCTACCACGCAGCCCTGGTGGCCCGCGCGCGACGCGGGCTTCGACCTCGTCCTCGATAAGGGCACCTTTGACGCCATCTCGCTCTCCTCGGCCACCGTCTCGGACCCGGACCCGGACCCGAACGCGCGCCAAAGACGCATCTGCGAACTCTACCCCTCCAGGGTCCTGGCCCTGGTCAGACCAGGAGGCTACCTGCTCGTCACGAGCTGCAATTGGACCGAGGCGGAGGTTGTGGCGTGGTTCACGGGCTCGTCCTCAGGAGGAAGAGCAGGAAACACCGACTCCACCGCTGCAGATACAGAGAGCAGCGAGAGGGCCGTGTTCGAGGTGTACGACACGATAAAGTACCCCGTGTTCGAGTTTGGAGGGCAAAAGGGCCAGGGCGTCGCCAGTGTGTGTTTCCGAAAACGACAGAAAAGCAAGACGGACTAGAGATGAAGAAATGTCTTTTTTTCCGCAGATTTTTCTGTTTTGATCTGACTTGATCTGCGGGATTTTTAGGAGAGGCACCATATCTCCTATCCCGGGGCTCTCTATCCATGACCACCTCCGCAATATCCCCTGAGAAAGGCTGATGAGGCCAGGGATTCTTACCTCGAATCCAAACCCAGAGGCCCTCTCACATAGCCATCCGATATTGCAACACCGCCAGACTCGTGCCTCGTATTTTCAGAAACTTGCACTGCGATATTCCGGGCCGCGGGCCGGACAATGGCCGCTTTGATCATCACTCATCTCGCTCTTTGTCAAATCTAGTTCATCAGCATATTCACCGCCCATGGGACTGACAACTGGCGCAAATCCCCGTAATGCTGACCCACGCCAATAAACTGAACTGGCACCGAAGTCGCATGCACAAGGCTGATCATTGTCCCGATCCCAGATCCAACCGTGTCAACCTTGGAGACGATGAACCCATCGAGCTTGCGGTTCTTACCTAGCGCCCGGGTGAAATTCTGCGCCTGGCCTACCGAGTCATTGCCGACCAATGCCTCCGCAACTTGGAGGATCAAGTCAGGTTTCGCAAAGTCCACCAGTTTCTCCAGCGCCGCCATGAGTTGTGTGTTGGTATGGGCTCGCCCGGCGGTGTCGATAAGCACGACTTGGTAGTCGTTTTCTTTGGCGAAAGTTACCGCATCTCTGGCCACATTTGCCGCATCTTTGCCATAGCCTCGTTCATAGATGCTGACTGCGCCGAGTCCTTCGCGGGCGGTGAGCTCCCTCAAATTGCGCACATGGACGTTCAGCTGTTCCACGGCACCGGACCTAAATGTGTCACCTGCGGCAATCAAGACGCGATAGTTGTTTTGCAGGAGAAAGTAGCAGAGTTTGGACAGATTGGTGGATTTCCCAACGCCATTCACCCCCAGGATGGTGATGACGAATGGACGGGGTTGAGCCTTTACCCCCGTGGGATTCGCGACCGACTCGATCTGTTGGAGCAGGTCCAATGACGATCGTGGCGTGAGGATCTTCCTGAGTGAGTTTTCCAACGCGGGTCGTAACGCAGCATCGATTGACTCGAATGCTCCCGTCTTCTTCCCTACCATTTCAGCCTCCACCCCTTGACACAATCGAATAGCTGCGTCGCGAGCGACGTTCTTGTTGATCAGGTGTTCTTCCATCGACCTCAGAGGTTTCTCAAGATCTTCTTTAGTCAATGTCTTCCCGCCCACGATATTCCTGAAATATCCCGAAATTGCTCCAAAGGTCGATTTTCCAGACCCGTTGATCTCGCTCTTGTTGGCGTCTGCCAATTTGAGGATATTGTTCACTTCATCCCCCAGATCTTTAAGCACAAATTGGCCTTGTTTATTCTTCGTGCCCCAACTCTCTTGTGAAATGGTTTCAGGTAGCGGAGACCTCATCCCTGCGTTGCCATTGGTGCCAGCATCAGCAGCCGAGTAGTCGAGCTTCACATCATCTTCCACATCGGCAATCCCGTCAGGACCCCAAACTCGACCCTTCTTCGCGCTGGTTTTGGTGGGTTTGGATTTTCGAGCTTCGTCTCCACTCGAAACATTTGCAGAAGCAGTAACGTGCGCGGCCTTCCTTGCTCTACGAGAGCCTCGACTCTGCGGTCTGCCGTTTTCCGTCAAGAGGTGTGGCGCAATGCCGGGAAGAGGAGTGGTTGGACGGGATGTATCGGGAGAGTGGACGGGAGTGTTCTGGAGAGAGTCTGCGTTGGTCACTGGCACAGCTTTGCGCTGTGCCTGGGCAGACGACGGTGTTTCTGGCGGTGGTGGTCCTCCAGTGTCCCCCCCTTCAGCACTTGTTTTCTTTCCTTCCAGCGGCAATTCAACGTGGCTTGGCTCCCTGGTGATAGCCCCGCCCATGCTTTCATCCAACCGACGCATCTCTTCGTCAAAATACGGATCGAAGGGATATTTCAGAGCAGCATAATCGAGCTCCTCTAGCTGGCCCCTATAGACTTCGACAAAGATGGTCTGAATGTCGTCGAGTAATTTGTCCACCCAGGTAAGATGAAGGAGGGACTGGTAGACGGCCACAAAGATCAAACCCAGGTCCTTGACCAGTGTGTATTTTAAGGTGTACTTGTCGTGTCTGTACGTGGGATTGTTGGAGCTGGTGGCGGTCGGGCGGACTTTCTCTTCGATGAAGACATCGTTGATCAAACTGTTGACCGCGGCTGCGCCAATTTTCGAGGAGGATCTCGACCATAAGACAACACCAGAGGTCGTCAGGATCTCAAAGGCGTCCAACATATTGCGAGACAAGGCTGGCTTCCACCGGGGACGGAGGCTACAGGCGAGCAAGGAGGGGGGACAAGAGGCGCACGCGAGAGCGACAGAAAAAAGCTACAGAACTGCGACGGGGAGTTGAAATGTGCCAAAATGACGTTGAATTTCCCGCCACGTGTTGATACGGAAAAGTGAATCACGTGGAGATAGCAACGGACAAGCATTTTGTACATTTAGCGCAGTCGTGGCACGTAATCACGTGAATCAATTCTTCATCCTCCCTGGTCCTCGCTGTCTCGCACCTGTCTACAATAGTTGCTACTCACTCAATCCATCCCGTCGGTGGATGCCTGGCTCTTCTTAATTCCCTGTTATCACCCAACTACCAATTGCGTTCGACTTAGGAAAGAGGCATCAGCTGAGGTGGGTGGTGCAACTAACAAGCAACCCTGTGCAGGGGAAGTTAAACCATGCGGCTGTATGCTACGGACTCCGCCTTTGTTTCAGCATACTGTCCTATTGATGGCTGCAGAGACTGGCAGTCACCAGTCTAACGCCGGTCGGAATCAACCACTCTGTGTCCGCGAAGATACCCAGTCCCCAAATTCGTCCTGGTTCCGGGTCTGGATGTAAATCCTACCAGGCCCTGTAAATCGACAAACAAGACCCTCGCCGGTCGTCACGCTGTGAATACCTCCTTTGCCGGCCTTTTCAATGGCATATCGACAGTTCCATGCGACAAGATGACCGTTATCAACAATGTGTTGTTCGTTGGCTTGAAGCTGTTGCATTCGTTAGACGAGTGTTGTAAAAGAGGATCACCGAAGGACACAGGCCCAGATGGGACGAATATCAAGAGTATGGATCGGATCCACTTACATCTCGGGTGACAATAGCACCAAAGGACGTGACCCAGAGTGTCCCCTGGCCAGAGATGCGGTAGATGAACAAGTCTTCCCCACTGAAGAAAGCCTTTCCGAGACCCTGGCTCTTGGTGTCCTTCACAACTCCACTCGTGCAGGCCAGAAAAGCATCCTTGCCGAGATTCCAGCCCTCATCTCCGCGAACAGGAATGGCCGTGATATCACCAAACAAGGTAGGTGCCAGAGATACCTCTCCAGGGCCAGTGAAGGTGGATTCATTCATTTCCCCGCCCGTGAACATCTTCTTCATGCTGAACTTGACTTTTCCCTGGAGCACGACGGTAGGAGACATTTGGATCATGGCCCCGGGCTTGGACTTGATGACGGCACCTTGGGGTAGGCGCACGTTCAACATGGCATTCGTGTCACGGTTAGTGATGGAATATGAGATCCCATCCGCTGTGGGATGCCAGCTTTGATCAAAAGACCCTGCTGCTGTTGTTGGCGCTCCCTGGGGGCCATGATGTGGTGGTTGTTGCTGTTGTTGCTGGTGGTGCTGAGGTGGATATTGCTGTGCCTGCTGGTATTGATTCTGGTATTGATTTTGGTATTGGCCCTGGTCTTGATACGGAGCTTTCACGATCAGCTGTGTTGAAGGGGAAGAAGTCAGACTCATTTTCTCCTTACTATTTGCGCCATATTGTTGTTGGGGGTAGTATTGCCCCCCTGGATTCTGGTTGTACGCCATCCTTCCCTGGGTGCGTGGATATGCGGAAAGTGTTTCGGAGACGGAAACGAATCAAACGAGCAATTTACCGACTGCACAACTCGAGGTCACTGGAATGAGAAGCACCCGACGATGAGATGACGGTACCTGAAGCCACCTGATTGTTGGAGGATTTATGCTTATATTATACTGAGAGCTTCTCACAGTGAAGGAAGAGAGGCCTGTGTGGCCTGAAGGATAAGACGTCTCTTGCATCAGTCGACTGGATTCTGGCCCCCAAACCATTGTTTTCGCCTTCAGCTGGGACGGTTTTTGTCTCGGCCCCCAACCGTTGCTGGACTTTTTATTCGACGGAGGGGCGCATGACCTGACGAAAGAGCAAATCCTTCTGTGATCCTGAACCAAGACTATCACTTACCAGTTTGTTGGTACATTACATGCTCGGTATCACAGTGTGGCTACCGAGTATTGGGACTTGGTTCATTGGCCTCCAGAGCGTTGACGCCCACCAGAGCAATATTAATGGCCTCCCCTCTGAAATTTCCTGTGGACGATCGAAACCACAACTAGTCCCAGACAGGTTATCACATTGCCCCGATCCGTCAGCAAAGGTCTGTTTCTACTCGGCACCCACTCGGTACTAGGAAGAAGGATTCCACCTAGAACAGGGGTCCGCAGCGCGGGACCTTTGGTTGGTGACTCAGCAGATCTAATCCACAAGCTTGAACGGGACACAGATTTCGCAAGGAATATTCGTACACGTTATTGTTGTTGGATCTAGCGAACGGAGCGTTTGCGCTCAGCGCTTGGTGTGACAGACCTCGTATGATAGTCGACAAACAGACAAGAGGACACGAGACTATCCACGTTGGCGTGCTACAGGTACGCATCTCTGGAGCCTGCATGCGATGGAAACCAACCACATCTTCAACCATGAGACTCTCATAACGCCATTCGCATCAGTGCTTATGCCTCGTCATAACATATGCAGAGTCCCGCTTGACCAAACTCCATAAGAGTACTTACATTTGCCACGTTGTATAGCGACCCCATCGGAGGATCTGAGAGGCGGTGGTCCTCTCAGGGCGTGTCTTTGGAAATTGCCCGCCCAAGGTGGATCCCCTAGGTGGTGAATGGTCAAGAAGTTGTGTTCGGTATAGCCATATGTCCGGCCTGTGGCTGGTGAGGAGGCTCAGCGCCTCATCCTCGTCCTCGTCCGTCCATCCTGCGCGAAACGACCGTGTCTCCTCTGTGGCTAAGAGGGCCAATTTAGGTATTTGCGGCTTTCCGGACTGGACCGTGGGTATAGTCGGGGGTCAGAACATATCCCTTGTCAGTCAAGGTGCCGCAACGGAGTCAAACGGCCCTCGTTTCAATTCGTCGACCAAATCTTGCGGCTGAACCAGCGTTTGCCGTCGTTATGGCTCTAACTCTGTTCACATACTAGGCAAAGGACCAAAGGATCGAGGCTGTGGATCTGGTCAGCATCGACAGACCGTTCAGCCTTTGACATGGCGTACACTAGATGGTGAAGCGGAAGAGATCGCTGGCGCGTCAACGACAGGAGGCGTGATTGATTGCGTGGTATCAGGACCCTTTTGTGGTTCTCGATTCGCGGCGGAGACTGTAGGTGAGATGTGCCCCCAGCATATCGACCAGCATATAAAGAAGGGGCTACGACATGGGATACCGTCTTGAGCATCCTGACTGCACTCGCTCCCAGGTCTTACCATGCTTTCGACGTCTGCTCTCCACGCCTTGTGCGTGCTTGCACTCACGGTGGCAGTGGAGTCTCAGTCCGGCACACCATCATCTACCGCCACGGCAACCCTTGACGAGCCATGTGCTCAAGTGAGCGCACTTTCAAGCCAGTATATGGCGGCGCATCCCACAGGTAAAGCCCTCCATCTTCAGAACGCGACACATGGCTTTGGCAATTACTGACAGCATTGAAAGCGGTTTCTTTCCCCATGCCTCCAGGTTTGTTGAGACGTCCCACCTGGCTATTCCTACTCGTGTCTGATGGCTGGGAATAGATGTGGCCTACGCGTGTTCACAATCCGTTCCGTTGGTGAAAGAGGATACACTTGCTGTCCTCACGGGCCTGAAGGCTTTGGTACAGTGGCAAAGTACGCTGGGCTGGCTCAAGGATCCACCAGCAGACTGGCCCTTCCCTCCTGTCGACCTGGTGGCAGGACTGGAGGATCTCACCAACAAGGTGCAAGATGGAACCATCACGCGAGAAATCGATTTCGAAACCCAACTAGTCGATTTGATCACTTCGGTGCGCGATGGGCACTTGACCTACGTGCCAGATGCCTACTCGGTCTTCCAGTATGGCGTCCAGGACCTACCCCTCTATTCCATGTCGACCGATGGCAAACAGCTGCCAGAAATCTACGCGGCCGCGGACGTGATAGCCCAATCCCTGGGCGGAGCAGGAGGATGGACGCCTTCTCCCATTGTCAAGATCAACGGGACTGAGGTGGTTTCCTGGCTAAGTGAACAGGCTTTCAACGGCACCTTGACGCATCAGGACTTGGACGCTTTGTACAACCGTCTCTTCGTCACCATCTTCGCCCCAGGAACCTCGAATGGTGAGTTCAGTGCCCCATCGCTCAGTCGATATTCAGGCTCGTCGATTGCGGTCGAGTTCAAGAATGGGACCCAAGCAACCTTCGCCATCGTCGCAGCTAGTAACCAGGACTTTACCAACGTGGTCGACGGCAAGAGTTTCTACCAGGCTTTCTGTGATCCCACCGTCAAGGCCAAGGCATCAGCGAGCTCGTCTTCGGCCTCTCCCGCCGAGCCTACCGAGACGACGGTTCCCGATCCTTCTTCCCTGTACCCGTTGTACCCTTCAGCCGTGGCCATCAATGACGACGGCACGCTCTCCGGCTACTTTTTGGATCATGAACCAGGCGTGGCTGTTTTGGCCATCCACGAAATATCCGAGGCCGCCCAGGTGTCGACGCAGCAGACTCTGGCCAATTTCTTACAACAATGCCGGGATGCCAACAAGACCCATCTCATCATTGATGTCAGCCAGAACCCTGGAGGCACTATTCTCGTGGCCTATGACATCTTCAAGCAACTCTTCCCAACTATTCAGCCTTATTTGGGCGCTCAAATGCGGGCGCACGATCAGGTATGCCATGAAATATTCCACCGTGGTGAAGTGGCCGTGTCTTCTAACTTTCCGCGTAACTTGCAGGCCAACGTCCTCGGAGAATACTATACTCCTCTAGTTGAACAGGCCGAAGAGCAGGATGCCATTGCCAACATCACCGACCCGGTAGTCCTTGCAGGTATATTCTCTCCGTTCGATGCCACGTCGGTGCTCAACGATAGTGGTCAAGCCTTTGCGTCCTGGGACGAATATTTCGGACCGGTCCAGGTGCACGGTGACAAGTTCACGCAGCAGTCCCAGATGA